ATTTTTAAAAAAAAAAAAAAAAAAGAAGCATATTGGATAATTAGTTAAAAAAAATTTATTCATAAATTTTAATTAATGCAAAAAAAAAAAATTATTATTTTAGTATTCAATTAAATGAAATGAAAATAAATTTGAAAAAATTATTATTTTAGAATTCAATTAAATTAAATTAAAAACAATTCTTTTTTTCTTGCATTAATTATTCTTTTTTAATTCATTCATTAACACTTATTTATTCATTTGATAATTAGTAATTATGCAACAAAAGAAAAATGTGAAAAATGTTGAAAAAGAAAAGATTATGAAATCGTAATGGGCAAAATAATCTTCAAAACAAATAATTTTTATATATACATTAATAAAAGAATAATGTTAGTTACTATTTCAAAATTATCGATGAATTAAATATTCGTAAATTTTAACTATAATTTTTAGTTAAAAGGAAAAAGAAGAGGAAGAAGAAATTTTCTTCAATCACAAAATTTAATGATAAATTTCAAATTTCCAATTTTTAAATAATTCGAAAATTATGAAATTAAACTATTACTTTGACTAGCAAAATATGTTTTATATGTAATTACAATTGTTTTTATTTTGAATCAAAGAAAAAGAAAATGAAGGAACAATGGATTAAATGAAAGATTTGGTATTAAAACAATTAATGATTTAAAAAAAAAAAGCAAAATTATTCAAAGCAATCAATTAATGATTTTAAGAAAAAAAAAAGATACAACCATAATTATAATATCAAATGTAATTTTAAATTAAATTTTGAATTACAAACTTTATATGATATATTATATATCATATTTATATATGATAAAGAAAGAAAGAAAAAAAGATACCGCTACAAAATTATCAAATAGTAATATGAATAAAACTGATATTATCTAATATGAAAAGATTTTAATTTGATATAAAATTTGATTAACAATATTTTTAGTGATAGTGATAATTTTTGAAGTGATATTATTAGGAAAACTTTGTGGATCTTAGTGATTTAAAAAAAGATAAGAAAAGGATATCATCAAATTTACCCTGCTAATCTTCTTGTAATTTATTGGCTAATATTAAAAATTATGTTAGAGAAAAAATTTTCGTTTTGTTTTATATTATGATTTTAAAAACGACAATCCACAAATTGCAACATTCTTCCCAATGTTGTCCAGGTGTATTGTGAACCACCAACGTTAGTACATGTTGCCATTAATGTTGATGATGATGTTATCGATGTCCTTTGCTGTAATTTGTGCAATTATTTTGATAAAAATATTAATTAAATTAAAGTATTAATTCTAATTAAAAATATTGTAAATAACTTTCATTTGTAATTTGATTTATGATTTAATTAAAAAGATGAGAAATTTTACTCGATATTTTAACAATAAATAAATAAATTCAAATATAATATTTTGAAGTAAATAAAGAAAAAAATGGAAAGTTCAATTTTTAGATTTTAGAAATAAAAATTTTTGTGTTGAAAAAATTTAGATTCCTTTTTGCAGCTAATTATGAATTAAATATGATCAGTCAAATTTCAATTTAATTTTATGTCGTAAAGTTGCAAAAACTTAAATGTGCAAATTTGTAAATTACAAATTGATTGGAAAAAATGCGGTTGCAATCTGAATAAATAGACAGCCACTACCTGATCATATCCTTCAACCGTAGCCGATTGTCCTTTTTCGGTGCATGTTATAGCAACTGTTGCACCTAGACTATGTGTATTACCAAAACCAACATCGCTATAATCAAATCGATACTGATCATCTTGATCAACTGATTTCACTGGATACAAGATTAAATCTGAGCATCGAGCAGCTATATACGCTAAAATGCAAATAATTACACTTATAATTATGAGCTTAATGATTTAAGAATAAACCTAAGATTAAAAATAGGAAAATGTTAGAATATAACGGATCGATTACAATAGCCGGAAAAGGTATAAAAAGGGATGAAAGGAATGGGAAGGAGAAAAGAGATGTGATGATGGATAGAAACGATTATCCGATTCGGAAAATGCTCTCTGTCCATTTCAAAAGGTTTATTTAAATTTCGAAAAAAATGACCAACACGAAATAATAGATATTCAAATGAAAGGATAATTATTACCACATTTTGCATTTGGTTTTCTCTTTAAAATTTTCTATTAAATGTATTATTCCTTCCATACAATCTTTTATGTATTAAAAAAAAGTGATATCAGTGATTGTTCAGTTCTCAAATTCTTATCAAATTCTGGTTTATCAATAAATAGATGCATATGAAGAATTAATTGATAATAATAATTATAATTAATTCATTTTGTTTTTTCCACAGTTGGAAAATTTGCAGTTAACTTGCATATATTATATGTAATCATATCTTTTACTTAAGCAAATTAAATTAATTTAATTCCCAAATTGAAATAATTTTAATCAATTTTTTTTTTTTACGATTTTGAACATTATTTGTTCGAAATCATCGTTTGCAAGCAAATTAAATTTTCAGGATATTCATTCCGGTTCTTTCCGATATTTCACAACTTTTTCCGGTTTTTTTTTTTGGAAGATTTTCTAGAATTTAACAAGTGCCAGAAATATAAATGTTAAATAAATTAGACGTCAAAAACTTTTCCAATTAATAATAACAATTTAAATTGATTCGATTCATTTTCATATTATTTATACTTTTTTTTTCCATTTGTAAATGTAAATATTAAAAGCAAAATTGGAAACTAATTGACAGCCGAAGCATTTAATTTTCAAACTAAAGAAAACAATAAATTCATAATAAATAGGCTTTTTTTTTTGAAGCAAGAATTGAGAGATTTTAAAGAGTGAAAAGGGCAAAACAATATTTTTAAAGTGAGAAAAATCCTAAAATTTGAAATGGATATTTTGAGGGATTTATCGATGCAATTTCAATCAAGGAATTAACAGAGAGAGAGAGAGAGAGAGAGAGAGAGAGAGCAAGAAATAGAGAGAACCAGCATTCTGATATTTCAGTAAAATGTGTAAATTTTAGGGAAAAATTGTAGTTTGAATAAATTCTGTAAAGTAAATCGAAAGATCATCGTTGATAATTCAAATAAGAAACGAAAAGAATTTTAGATTCAAAACATAGAAGTTCATAGAAGTTAATTCAAAAAATGAACTTCAATTGAGTATTAATTATGAAAGATATTTCCAATGAATTCATATTAGTCATAAAATTTAATTCAATAATACAATTTAGTATTATACAAAATTTAATGATTAATATGAATTTCCAATTTTTTTTTTTTTTTGATACCGTTGAATTTTTCAATAAAATAATAAATTTAGCAAAAAAGATAGAAGTTTGATGAAAAAAGTATCGAACTATTGAAATTTCGATTAACTGTATGAAAAATATTCTTTCATTGATTCATATATAAAATTTAGTGATGTGAAATTTAAATTATCAAATTTTTAAAACAATAAAGGATTAAAATTCTTCATAAGTTTTGATTACCTAAGAATAACATAATTGGATAACGATAACTGTTTAATATAAGAATGATTATTGTAACTACGGATATCATGCATATATTTCAAGAAAGTTAACATTCATATATTTAATAGAAAAATTTTGAAATTCAAAAAAAAAAAAAACAAATAATAATAATTAAAACAAACTTGGATCTTGACTAGGGATAAATCCTGGTGGCGCACATCCATCGATAACTGCTGATATAATTAGAGTGATAATAATAATTGATTGTAGTGATATCATCAATAATCGTTAATTTGTAATCAAACAAATCAAAACTTCTATTTGATTGTAAAAATTAATAAATTTCGATTAATTAATCTTCTTTTCCTGTTTACCTTAAAAACAAAACAATACAATGCAATAAAAATAAATTTAAAATTTAATCATATAATAATAAAAAATTGAAATACACATAACAGTACAACCAATAAATCTGAACAATGAATTTCATTTAGCGAAGAGATATGAGAATAAAAATGATTTTTGATTGTCACCGTATTATCATCATTTATTAGCCTTCCCTTCTCATTTTAGTCTATTTTACTACAATGATTGATTTCATCGTTAGAATAATAAGTAGCGGGGGAGTGAACATGGGATAGAATTTGATGCGATGAGATATGAAAGCGGGAGAGAATAGAAGAGGCGGGATATGAGAAACTATTACAACTCGGATTGATGAATAAATAGGGAAAAGTTTATGGGGATAGGTGATACCTGTTTAGGTATAATCCATATAGGGGGGCTATCTATACAGCTAGTTAACATTTATTATACGTGGAAAATTGAGGGAAACGATTCAATCCATTATCGCGCCTCTTCCTCCTTCTTCTCTTCCCGTTTTTCAACTTTCAATTCAACTAGATTTTTATTGTTAATTTACCAAATTTGTCTATTTTTCGATCGGTTCTTGTTAGAGGGGGAAAAAGCGGGGGAGAAGAGGAAGAAATGAAATAGATAGATAATGCACCCCCGCATACAGCATATAATACAAATATATTTTTACCCTGAAACTAACTAAGTCAACAAAATGATTTATCAAATTTCAATATTCAATTAATTCATTAAAGTGTAATCTCGTACTGCGATATAATTCCGTATAGGCCTATTTGACTTCATTTACATCTACATATATGATTGTAAAACAATAGAGAAAAAAATGAAAAGAAAATGAATAAGTTATTTATTTTCGAAAGGAATCGACTGTTTCGAGTTCTTTTTACTTCTTTGATTTGATTTATTTTTAAAACAAAAAAAAGAAGTTAATTGTGATGAAAATTTTGTTAGAATAATTAATTTTGATTAAATGAATCATTTTAACAAATGATAATCGTAAATGATTACGTTTATCATTTGTTGGAATGATTCATTCATTCAATCATATAACAATTGTTGCATATTTATAGTTGTTGATAAGATGATTTGATCAATTTTAGAATAACTTCTTCTCTTTTTCTTTCATATAATAAAGCTATAATATAATTTAGGAAATTTTTATATCATAAAAATGAAAATAATCAAACTAATCGATATTTTATTTAAATTAAAACGAAAAATTGATCAATTTTAAAATTCCATTATTGAAAATATTACTGTCTCTCTTCTTTTCCTAAAATATAATTTTAGAAAATTATCAAAATTTCAGAAATATATTCTATTATTTCTTTTTTAATAAATGGATTTCACTAATGGTTGCAATTATTTTTCTTATAATATGTTGGAAATTGTTTGTAATCATAATTGTATGATTTATAATTTTTGTTAATATCCTATCTCTCCTACCCTCTGTTATATTACTCTTTAGTTCAAAAAAGAATATATGGAATGGATTAGATAATTTTTCCTAAATTTTCAACTATAACCGAAATTTCCTAACTCATTGATCGATTTTAATTTTTATTGACAGTAGAATAAAATATATATATATTGGATTAAATATGAACTAAATTCTTTTTTTCTCTCTCTGTAAAATTTCACAATGATGATCTTTTAATTTTTTTAAATTCTTAAAACGAAAAATGACCTATTTGTTGGCTTAATAATAATTATTTCAAATGTTTATATTATTAAAATTGCGTAAATAATATTGGAATTGTTAATTTTAATCAAATATTTAAATTGGAATTTAAATTGGAATTTCAAATATATATGAAATTCCAATTTAAATATTTGATAAAAATTAACAATTGTCGAATTAAAAATTGTCGTAAATGCGTGAAGAAAAGTAATGATTGAAAAATTAACCAACCAATTATGCTATTGATGATGCTTTAAATTTGTATTTTCTAAAATTCACGAAGTTTATTATTATTTTGCTACTGATTATATTGATAAAAAACTGATCACAATTGTTTACGAATTAATGATTTATTGTTTCTACTTCGCTACAAGTTTATTAATTTTACAAAATTATCCATCTCTATGAATATCAAATAAATTATGATAAGATTAAATAAAAATTATCATAAACTGTTGAGGAAAATTGATCAATTTATCAATTTATGAAAATTATCCAATTGTTTTCAAGGAACTTCTTAATTTCTGCACCAATACTTCCCTCCTTAAAAACTTATCAAAATTTATATTTTACAAATAATCCATTATTTATCAAAAAGAGAAAATCTGAAAAAGTTGAAGATAAAAGGAAAATTTATTGGAAAATTAAGAAGCTAACCCTTATCTGAGGATCACAAAGTGATAGTATCAGAAGAAGTAACAACAATTTTTTTTGGTTATCATTTCATCAACATCAATAAAATTAGCCAATTCATTAATGTCCAAAAACAATTATCCAATTCACCGATATCCGGAAAATTGATTGGTTCATTTTTTAACTTCCATTTCTCAACTATTCACTCAAACTTTTAATTGCTAATTATTTGTTATTAGTAACTTTTAATAAACCAATTGAATTTTTAATCATTTGGTAATATATATTTTCTTATGTATAATTTATTTTAAATTTTTAAATTTGCAAAAAAAAAATGAAAGAAATATGATTTTAATAAAAAAAAATAGATTATTTTCAAATTTATCAATTATTAATTAATTGTTCAAAACATTCTATGCTGCACAGGAAATGATGCGAAAGTGAGAGGAAGGAATAGAAGTAAATTCTGAACCGAATATAAATCCATGAAAATCTGGAAGAAGAAAAAAAAGGAATTTCCGGATGTCATATTTATTTTACAGAATTGAAAGATATCTAATATTTTGCAAAAGTTCTTTACTTTCTTATATCTTCTTCTTTACTTCATAGCAAAATATAGCAATGTATAGTCGAGAAACATTTACATAGTATTTGTTCGCTTCATTATTTGTAGGCCTTTTCTAGGCCTTTTTCAAAACTAAAATAATTAAAGTATACTTAACTGACGTAAAAATTCCATTTTTGAATTCCTTATTTTTGTTTTCATATAAAACAGCAAAACAAGATATATATATATATATATATATAGAAAATGAAAAAGGGTAGAATTGTTGCGTAAAACATTTACTATGATTACTTAATCACTGATCGGTAATATTCTGATCGACGGTGATATTTTGATCTATGTAGCGTTGGATGCATGAGTATAATATATAATAACATAAGATGCATAAGTATAATATTTAATAATATCACATATATGCGTTACATGTAGCGAAAGAAACTGAAGATAAAATTTTCTTCTGGTTTTCCGTTATCTGTTATAGTTAGGTGTTGGATATAATTACATGATTCATATGTTCATCGATAAGATTGAAATTGTAAAGAAATTCAACTAATAGAATCAAAATTTATTTATTTATAATTAAATCTAACAAGCGCAGTAAGGAAATTACAAACACTGATAAGATTAAATTAGATTTTACGCAAGCATAATTTAACCGCAACAAAATGTTTCGGTTTAAGCTAACATAGTAATTAAAGTTTGAATATCTCCTTAAAATTGGATACATATCGTATAAATGATTCTTTGTTAATAAATGCAGAATTACGTCAAATATTTCAAGAAAACCTTTCTTGAAACTATGATGTATATATTCCGGAAATGATAAAGGCTTATATATGCCGAACTCATCTTTTTTCCTAGCTTCCCTTTTTCCTTTTCCATTTCTTGATAATGAAATTTGTTATGTAAAGCTTTAAGATGCGATGCGCACTATGTCTATTGAACAAAATAATCTCAGTATGTTGGTATAACACTGAGAATACCAACAAATGAGAAAGAGTAATGGATGAAGAAACAGACAGTTAAAGAGAATGTATATGAAAAGAGAGAAATTGGGAGAAGATATAGGAAATGAGATAGTATTCATCTGATGAGTCGTGTTTGTGGCGAAACATTGAGATTCGACTAATTTGCGCCTGGATGGATTTCAGGGTGAGTATGGACTTATTTGGTAATTGGAAAGATTACATTAATTTCTTTCAATTTTTCAAAATAACTCAAACGGCTTCCAACGTAGCTCTTGGCACATTTGATTGCTATTATGCTGAATGTTGAAAAGTAAAATGTGACGTTAATTTAAGTATGTCGTTAACGTAATCGTTAATCTAATGGAAGGATGAACTCACGAAGTGACGAAGTACGCGTTCTATTGAATACGTGTAACAAAATTTTCGTCCAACGTGACTACTCGAAAGGATTGGGCGTTCAATTTGAAACCGCGTTTCCGGTTGCACTTGAAGGGAAGGTAAGAATATATACACATATTTGGTAATATTCTTGGAATAATTCTTGAAAGCAATGAACGGTCAAGTCAAACATTATTCATACTGCTTTGTGATTTCGATCGTTTCTTGAACGTATTTTGTTTTTATCGGTCGTTTTTTGCCGTTATCATCGACCATATGGTGTCCTTGGTTTCTAGCTTCAGGTACTACTCGTCCGGAGGTTGAAACATAAAAGATTACAGGAATATTGAATTCAAGCAAACGGTTAAAATGCTGCACTTATATCTCAAGTTGGAGTCTTTTTACTATTGTCGAAAAGTTGAATTAAGTCAGAATCTCAATGCAAAGAATGCTGTTCCATTTGGAACATTGTGGAAAGGTTGTTTTTTAGATCAGTGAACAAGCCTGGGCATATACAATTACCACGCTCAATTCGTACTACACTAAAGCTGAAGAAGTTTGCTGCGCAACCGTACTCGAAACATTATTCGGATGTCTTTCATGTTATATTTCCAGGCTTTTTGCAAAGGTTTGTTTTTCGAATTCTGGATTTTCAATTTGCATGAAAAAAGTCAATGAA